TCCCGCCATACCTAACACACGTTCTCTTTGAGGGCAATCGACATGAGCGTTATGCATATGTCTCTTTCAAACCATTAATGCCATAACGCTTAAATCTATATTGTCTATTTAGATTTCTGTTAATAGTAGTGGAGAACTTTTCTTTTTTTTTTCATTTCGTAAAAAATATCATTTTTTTTTTTTTTTCGGTCTAAAGATCGGTCTAAAGATCGGTCTAAAATTCAATTTCCCCCCAGATCGACCGAGATCGGATAGGTACTGTTTCACCATTTTTTTGATTATTCCGAATAAATAACGCGTTTTCTTCTTTTATATTAACAATGGAAAGAATACAAGTAGACGAATTAGAGGATATATTATGTATTCAAAATGGAATAAAAGATTTAGTGTCTTCTTATGTACAGAAATATCTTGATAGTAACACCGATAATGATTTAAAATCTCGTGTTACTTCTGCTGTTAAAAAAGTATTATTATAAAATTTTTACATGACTTTATTTTTTATATAATAATGGTAATTAATATAATATATAAATTGTGTGTATATATAGTGGATCGATGATACGTTTAAAATGTGTTCTCCAAATTTAGAAGTGAATGGAATGACTTATGATAAAGCTTTAAAAGAGATAGGTACGTATATAAAAACAGTAATTCTATCAATTCACCTTCAAACTTCTAAATTCTGTTCAAATATAACTTCTTGTATAAATAGATGTTGAACCATTTGATGAAAACCTGTTGTCAAATTTAATATCATTAGAATCAGATGTTGATGTTATGACTTTAAGAGTGACAGAAAATCGTCGTAATTCACCGGAAATTATTAAAAAAAAATTCGAAGAAATTCTATTATTACAATCTTTCATGAAAAATCATGCTGAAATTATTGATGATGATGATATGGGGATTTGTGATATGCAAATTGATTCTGATACGGTTACTTCTGGTGTTATTTTATCCGGTATATATCGGTAAATACCGTTTTGGTTACGCGTTGTGAATGTTAACTAATCATTTTTTTTTTTTTTTTTTTTTTTACAAGAACAATTTTCTGAACGCGTTGTCCAAACATATGACCAAAGCCTCAGTTTGTTAACTGAATTGAAAAAGGTAATTTTTTTAATTCACGTGAAACTTAATTGCAAAAGATATTTCTAACGTCTTCCAACTTATTTCGTTTAATCTAGTCTACAACTGCCAATTTATCAAGATTTGAAAGAGCTCAAACTGTTGTTGCAGATATTAATAAATTTAATCCAACCTCTTGAATTATCAATATCTGTTTTTTTTACTTAATTGCACAATTTCTTCGCGTCCAAGTTATAGATAAGAATATCACTATCATCGACGAAACACCGAAACAATTATTTTTTTTTTTTTATAATTGAATAACTTTATTAATGACAAAAAAAAAAAAAAAAAATTTGCAAGTATAAAAGAAGTAAAAGATAAATAAAAAAAAATGTAAAAATGGTGGATTTTTTTAATTACATTATAAAAAAATTTTTTTCCTTTTCTATATTATATATATAAAATCTAATTTATATATATAATAATAAAATATTTTGTTTTGGATTTTTTTTTCTTTTTTTTTTTTTTTTTTACAAGAATATAAATCTAATATACTATTTAGATAAATATATATATATCAGAAATATATTTAAAAAAAAATTATCATTTTTATATAATGACAAATTCTGGACTTATGTCAGAAAAAAGGATAAGTTTGAGACTTTTTTAATATATGTATCTGATAAACCATCATTGCGACTAAAGTGAGTGATTTGTAAATACACATTAACAATTATTATCTATACTAAACTACAAAATAATAAAATAATAGCAATGGGAAATATAATAAAAAAAGTTATTGTTACAACAATTAATTTAGTTACATAACCCATTGTTATATACTATATAACAAATACAATATTATTCTTACTACATAATATTTATTTTTGGACACATTCTTACATACTAAATAATTATTTTTTAACAAAATTCTTCATTGGTTGAAGTTGCATCGAATTTTTATTGAGTTGGTTGTTGAGAAGATTGTCTCGTTCGCAATATATCCAACATTTGTTGATTATTAATGTCTAAAAATTTAAAAAGAAAATTATTCATAAATTGAAAATAATCTGTACCAAATATATTTATAATATATTAAATAATCATTAACATACCGGTATTGGCATTACTAGCCGTCTGAAATAAATTAGCCATTCGACGTCGTAACAAAGCTTGTTCACTTCCAACTTGTAGGTTTTGTAATAGAGCAGGTTGCATAGCCTGTCGTTGTTGTTGTTGAAGCATTAACGCTTGCTGCATATTTGGTGGCAAGTTAGCTATGGACTGTTGTTGCAAATGCGCTAATGCTTGCATTTGTTGCTGTTGATGAATATGTTGAAAAGCGTTTTGTTGTAATACTTGTGCAGCTGTTGGCATTTGCATCGTCGGTTGCTGCTGATGTTGAGCTCTTTGTATCGCTGCCATTTGTTGTTGTTGCATAAGTTGTTGCATTTGTTGTAATTGTAAAGCTTGTGGTTGTTGAGCTACTGCTTGTGGAGGTCGAAATTGTTGTGCTTGCGAAGCAACCGTTACGCTTGTTGGCAATGGTGTATCCAAAAAAAGCAAACCAACAATTTTTTGTCCGGTAGGGTAAAGAACTATACCTCCGTTTGGATTTGGAGCATTAGGAAAGCGTACAAAGGCAGCCTTAATAAATAAAAAATCTGTAAATAATAATATTTATACTGATTAAATATTTCAAAAAATATATATCTCTTCTATACCATCTTCCTGGTATCCAAAGTTCGCATCAAGATTGCAAAACTATTATTATTTTCTTGTGTAGAAGGTGGGG